CATTATTTGGTTGAGAGGTAGTAACATCACTTGTTTTAGACTCTTTTTCTTCCCAAGGCAACTGATCCGTAGCTTTCTTATCGGAATTCGTATCTTCTGTCTCCCATGGCAACTTGGCGTCAGTCAGCGCTTCTGATTCCCATGGTAAAGTATCTTTTTTTGATGGTTCCGATGATTCTGGTACCTCTTCTTTTCCCTCTTTATGTGCTTGAGCCAAGTCTTCCTGAGCGGGGTTGAAATCGTTGTCTACACCTGTTTCGGGAATATACTCCTGCAATTCACTTTTTCGCTTATCTCCAACTAAGGTTATTGGATCATTATTGGAACTTGTATTGTTATTGTCTTGGGATGCTAATTCGCTGACATCTGCAGCCAACGCATGGGCGTCCTTATCCTTACTTCCGAAGTCCAATTGCTTGTCTGCATTGGATGTTGTTCTTGGAGAAAGCTCCTGTTGGACACCTCCATTGTTTCCACCAGACGCTTGGTCGTCGATCTCTAATTTATTCTTCTTTATGGCTTCCTCAAATTGGTTAGGCGCAATGTGATCATCTTCACCGTCCATGCCATCGTCATCCTCAATCATAACTTCCGATGGCTCATGCTCCGACTCTTTTTCGAGAGTCTTTAATTGTTCCTTAATTTCGTCACCTTCGGTCACCAGACTTTTCCTCAATATCTTTTGGTCGGTAAAGCTGGCAGACCGTTTGGCCATGGACGATATAGCGTCGTCCACTGATTGATTGTGTGGAAGAGCCTCGTCGCCGCCAGTAATCAATATACTGGTTCGACGATGTTTATCTGGCAAATCTGCGTTCTCAATATGAGATCCAAGCGAATCATTGGCGTTTGCTGATGTAGAAACATTTTCGACGGGCTTTAAATGTTTCGCCAAATGGGACTTTTTGTTTTGTTTGCGTGCCATTATCGTTATATATAGATAGCTTTGGTGATTCTTCAATGATTTCCGGATACGCTAACCACCATATATATCAATTATATCCAATTAATACGTATTATCAGTAGGATGATCTAATACTTGCTTGTATCGTGTTATTATGGACGCTGCGACGATCCGCCAGGACCATCTCCAGTCACGTGCTCTATACTATTCACTGTCCCCCCACAACACCGGTAGCAGCTAGAGTAGGAAGAGTTGTTAGTGTAGACTACTAGTTGAAAGCTAATAGGAAGTCTATGGAGACTGCTTTTTTCACGATTGTTGTTTCTATAATCGTGTAATAATAAAGGAACCTAACTCACTTCAATATAATTCTCTCGTTTTGCAAAAAACTGAAAAAGCTGTCATTATTAGTATATATATTTTTTTACAACTCATTGAATATAAACTACAATCCTTGTACCAAAATACTGTTACGAGATGAATACCTTGCTGCATTCTTCGCCTTGATTAGGTCTATGTTTTAATTTTTATTAGTACTATGGAAACAACTGCGAAAAAGACGTATTCCAAGCGGCATAATTGGAACATGAACAAAATTAAACCCGTTTACAATGCTAAATACTCTAGACAGTGCCTTTGAAGCGAAACCTCGATATGTTTCTCCAAATTAATCCGAAAAAACTTAGAATCTAAGCATTTCTCCGTATTTTGTGGCACCAAGTCCTTATGACGCACCCTTCCCAATTAACCCCAAACAGATACGAAAACTCTACGATAACCAATACAATACCCCGACACCTCCGACAAAACAGCCTCCATGCAACAACCCCCGAAAACAACCTTAAAACGACCCATACTCGGAAGATCTATTCATCGATCGATTCCGATGCCCCAAACCAATTTCTATGTGGGTGCCATCTACGACACGGCGCAGCACACGGCCGCAATCGCTTACACTTTTGATCGTCTCGTCTACGTCCATCTCCAAATCCATGGTTCTATACAACTACTATTCATTTCCATGATCCCTTCCTTTACTCTAAAATCTTTCAATCCTCTAATTCAAGCCCCAGATATATCATCCCCTGCACCTCATCTACACTTCGCATTATCTCGGTAGTACAAATAAACGAGCTTTCAAGCCTATTCTACATAAAAATAACTTC